AGAGAATGTAGTGTGGATGGTGGAGGAGAGATGTCAGAGAAAGTAGTGTGGATGGTGGTTGTGTTTGGCTGAGGGAGGAGTTGACTGGACTCTGACTTCCTGTACACATCTTTGAGGGCCTACATGGGAAGAGTTCCTTACAGAGTTGGGTGTGAGAGGAACATGAGGAAGACCTTCTCGGAGGAGGAGAAGGAGTGGACATGGCATTCATCCCCACCCATCCAAGTCTAACCATTACCAAGCGAAGAACCATCAAATTCTCAGTCATTGGTTCAGATGCCCCGTTGCCTTAGAACGCATGCCCCCGCCCCCCACCCCCCATCTCCTCAGTGGGCTTACTGGTGATGTCTCCTGGCAAAGGACACTTACCTACACGTCTGGTGGCTGTGACATACTATTACATCCATAAGTACTTACAGCCTTTCTCACAATGCAATCCACGACCCCGACCACCGGCTCACCTGAGATCTTAGTCTTGTCTATGATATCTCAATGTTGGTGCTCTACTGAGGTCCATCTGTGTCTTTATGGACCTCCATCTTGAATGACATCACGCACATGGATAGTTCCATGGGGAATGACCAACTGGAGCCCGATCTGTGGACATGGTCACGTTGGAATATATATTTCAGTACAGGTGCATTTACATCCGTGTTGACTTCATAGAGTCACCAGAAACCTTGAGTCTTCTCCTCGGGTATGTTTCATCATACGTCTCTTACTCCTTTGTAGCCTCTGATGCCCCGAATGAACAACGACCATAATGTGTCTCCATAGACCCGAAATACAAGGCAGCTCCTATCTGTCGTTGACCCCTGACCTCCCTACCTATGTCTTCCCCCGCTTTACTCATATCCCTACCCATCCCCCTCCTTGTTTGTTGGTCATCCCGAAGCCGAAATGTCTCTTTTCCATGTTTCGTCTCATGGTTGACGCCATTGGAAGTATGGACGAGAAGATGTCTTGAGGATCAAATTTAGGGTTGCCACCGAAACCCGAACACTCTAGCACCGCGTGCAGCAATTTTTTCTATTTGGGGAATATAGAGGCGAGACGGCTACATACTTTGTTGTTTTGGGGTGGCACCCTAATGTCTCCAGGGTCTCAGATGGGCTATGCACACTCTCAGGTGGGCTATGCGGGCTCTCAGGTGGCTGTGTGGGGTCTCAGGTGGGCTATGCGGGCTCTCAGGTGGGCTATGTGGGGGTCTCAGGTGGCTGTGTGGTGTCTCAGGTGGACTATGCGGGCTCTCAGGTGGCTGTGTGGGCTCTCAGGTGGGCTATGCGGGCTCTCAGGTGGGCTATGCGGCCTCTCAGATGGCTGTGTGGGGTCTCAGGTGGCTGTGTGGGGTCTCAGGTGGGCTATGCAAGCTATATCCCCTCCCCCCCCTCCCAAAACAATAATAATATATTTTTGGAGTCAAGGTCGTTTCACCAAAACATAACGTAACAGAGGAACCGACCACGAGGGTGAAACAGAACATAGACCTAGCTAGACATGTAGACGTGTTTGTATTCAATACGAGGCCCTGAGCTCAGTTCACGTCAGAGGAAGGTACAAACAGGAAGTGATGTAAGGTGCAGACAGGAAGTGATGTAACATTATTAGCAGGAAGTTCCAGGTGGTAGGAAGGAGAGAGGAGACATTGCTGGAACTGGCAGCAGAGGAGGTAATAAGATATTATATATACACCCAGTAACCCCGTCATGAGGCAACTGTCCATCCAGAGCCGGCCGGCTTATAGACTAGAAACATCCTAAATATAGAGCCATTAATTCCAGGAGGTCACATGACACCTGACCGAAGAGGTGAGGAGGATTTACTCAGGATTATAAAGTAGTGAAGAAGATATCTGGTGATCCATTAACACCCAGCCGACGTCTTCAAGGGGCATCACCCATGAAGATTCTGGAAGCCACCAAGAAGATCACGATGGAGGATCAGCCGCCCCTCACATCACCGGGTAAGTACGGAGGCTCCGCCTACATCCCCCATCATCTGATACACACATAGAAACAATGTATTCAGTCAGTGTGTGTGTTTCCTACAGATGGATCCAGTAAGAGGAACCCACCAGAGAGATGTCCCCGCCCCCTGTATTCCCGGGACTCCACCCAGGAAGATCTCACCATCCCCCACCATGAGAGATGTCCCCGCCCTCTGTATTCCCGGGACTCCACCCAGGAAGATCTCACCCTCCCCCACCATGAGAGATGTCCCCGCTCCCTGTATTCCCGGGATTCCACCCAGGAACATCTCACCCTCCCCCTCCATGATCAGGTGGGTGGAACTGAAGGACAGAAGGACCTCTACAAGGACATGATGATGGAGCCAGCTGATACCAGAAACTCATCAGAGAGATGTCCCCGCCCCCTGTATTCCCGGGATCCCACCCAGGAAGGTCTCACCATCCCCCGCCATAATCAGGTCGGTGATGAACAGTCAATGGAAGTTAAATTGTATTCTGTATGTCCGCTGCACAAGTGCGATGACAATTTCCTGTCATGTGTTCAGGAAGGAGACCCGAGACATTTTAATGTTATGGTGAAAGAAGAGATCAAAAAGGAGGCGGATGAAAATGGTATAACGGGAGGACACAAAGATTTCCACGAGGACATCATGATGGACTCATTCAATAACACAAACCCACCAGATGGAGTGATGGAGGAGCTCTCTGAAGGACACAAGGACATGATGGAGCCACCTAGGAAGAGGAACCCACCAGAGAGATATCCCCGTCCTCTGTATTCCCGGGATCCCACCCAGGAAGATCTCACCCTCCCCCGCCATGATCAGGTAGGTGGGACTGAGCTTACAAACCAATCATCTCTCAGGTCTTTGGGTTTTGGTGTTTATGTTTTGGGGGGATTTTCATTTTGTGTTTTTTTTTTTTTTTTGTAGATTGAAGAATTGATTGATATAAAAGCTGAGGTAAAAAAGGAAGAAAAGGAGACGTATGCAATAGGTGATCGGCAGTGTACGGAGGAGAAGCAGGAGGGCGTGGTTATGGTGACAATAAAGGAGGAGGAACCTTCTCCAGATATCAACTCAGGTGAGTAATGAGCAGAAACTGAACTCAATATAACGTCATGTGACCAACAAATGAGGAGGAGATACTGGACAAGGAGGAGACACTGGACACCATATGAAGGTCCATCTCCATCCCCCAATATAACGTTATGTGACCAACAAATGAGGAGGAGATACTGGACAAGGAGGAGACACTGGACACCATATGAAGGTCCATCTCCATCCCCCAATATAACGTTATGTGACCAACAAATGAGGAGGAGATACTGGACAAGGAGGAGACACTGGACACCATATGAAGGTCCATCTCCATCCCCCAATATAACGTTATGTGACCAACAAATGAGGAGGAGATACTGGACAAGGAGGAGACACTGGACACCATATGAAGGTCCATCTCCATCCCCCAATATAACGTTATGTGACCAACAAATGAGGAGGAGATACTGGACAAGGAGGAGACACTGGACACCATATGAAGGTCCATCTCCATCCCCCAATATAACGTTATGTGACCAACAAATGAGGAGGAGATACTGGACAAGGAGGAGACACTGGACACCATATGAAGGTCCATCTCCATCCCCCAATATAACGTTATGTGACCAACAAATGAGGAGGAGATACTGGACAAGGAGGAGACACTGGACACCATATGAAGGTCCATCTCCATTCCTCAATATAACGTCATGTGACCAACAAATGAGGAGGAGATACTGGACACCGTGTGGGATGATCAGGATACTTGACATTGTAAATTATTTTGATGTCCTTCCCCCAGGTGGACACGATGCCGATGAGGAGACGCACAACGGGGAGAATCCAAATTCATGTCCCGAGTGCGGGAAATGTTTCCGATTGAAATCACAGCTTCTAAGACACAAAAGGCGTCACTCCGGAGATCGGCCCTTCTCGTGTTCAGAGTGCGGGAAATCATTCAAAAGCAAATTGGAGTTTGTCCGCCACGCAAACACTCACACAGACATGAGGCCATTTTCCTGCTCCGAGTGCGGTCAGAGTTTCAAGAGGAAAGGTCACCTGACGACACATCTGAGGATTCACACAGGCGACACTCCCTTCCTATGCGTCCATTGCGGGAAAGGTTTCACGTGCAGCTCACAGCTTGTTAGACATCTGAGATCTCACACGGGCGTGCGGCCCTATTCGTGCTCGGAGTGCGGGAAGGCTTTCACCGAGAAGATGATGCTGGTCCACCATATGAGAGTTCACACCGGCGAGAGGCCTTATTCGTGCTCGGAGTGCGGCCAGCGTTTTAAACTTAAAAGTGTTCTGAATGGGCATATCAGGGTCCACACGAAAGAGACCCCCTTCCCGTGTCCTGTGTGCGGGAAATGTTTCACACGGAAAGATATTCTCAACATACACAAGCGCAGCCACTTGGAGAAATTGCCGTACACGTGTGCAGAGTGCGGGAAAGGTTTTACGTGGAAGAGTACCTTCATCAGCCACCAGCAAATTCACACCGGCGAGCGTCCTTTTCCCTGCCCGGACTGCGGCAAATGTTTCAGACAAAAATCCTCTCTTACGGAGCATCGGAGGCTTCACTTAGACGAAGGCTCGTTGACCTGCGCAGAGTGCGGGAAAGCATTTAAGACAAAATATGAACTTCGAGTACATCTGAGCGTTCACACGGGTCAGGAGGTCTTTCCATGCTCTGAGTGCGAGAAATGTTTCTCGCGGAAAGGACACCTTGTTATCCACCAAAGAATCCACACGGGAGAACGCCCTTTTCCATGCTCAGAATGTGGCAAGTGTTTCTCGCGCAAAGCGCAACTACTGAGGCACCAGAGAAGTCACACCGGCGAGCGTCCTTTCCCCTGCTCAGAGTGCGGGAAAAGTTTCACTCAGAAGGCACATCTCCTTACGCACCAGAAAAGCCACGAGGGCGAGCTTCCCTTTTCCTGCCCAGAGTGCCCGAAGTCCTTCAAGACAAAATCCAAGCTCCTGCTACACCGGAGAGGTCACACCGGCGAGCAGGTCTTCTCCTGCTTGGAGTGCGAGAAGTCCTTCCTTACCAAGTGGCAGCTCGTTGAGCACCAGAGAGTTCACACCGGCGAAAAGCCCTTTTCCTGCTCCGAGTGCGGAAAACATTTTTCACACAAAGCCAGCCTGAAAACCCATCAGAAGCTCCACACCGGCGAGAAGCCGTTTTGCTGCTCGGAGTGCGGGAAGAGCTTCATACGGAAAGAACATCTCACTAAACATCAGACAACGCACGGCCGCTAAAGTTAATGTTTGTGGACTGAATTGTTATTTTCATTGAGCAGATAAAGTCGGTATGAGATTGATATTCCAGTTCATGGTGATGGCTTCTTAGATGTCTGGGAGCTGCTTGGGGTGTCTGGTCATAAGAGACATTACCATGTACCGGAAACACCTGAACTCATATCATGGGGAGGGGCGGCCATATTGTAAGAGTGCGAAGAGGAGCTCATCCAATATCGGGCTTTGCACTTCCTTTTATAAGTTTAGATTCTGAAAAATGGGCTTTGTATGTTATTCACTATCTGAAATAAACTGAGACACTGGACACCATATGAAGGTCCATCTCCGTTCCTCAATATAACGTCATGTGTCATCCAAAATAGGACTTTACACTGGACACCATATGAAGGTCCATCTCCGTTCCTCAATATAACGTCATGTGACCAACAAATGAGGAGGAGATACTGGACACCATATGAAGGTCCATCTCCGTTCCTCAATATAACGTCATGTGACCAACAAATGAGGAGGAGATACTGGACACCATATGAAGGTCCATCTCCGTTCCTCAATATAACGTCATGTGACCAACAAATGAGGAGGAGACACTGGACACCATATGAAGGTCCATCTCCGTTCCTCAATATAACGTCATGTGACCAACAAATGAGGAGGAGATACTGGACACCATATGAAGGTCAATCTCCATTCCCCAATATAACATCATGTCCCCAACAAATGAGGAGGAGATACTGTACACCATATGAAGGTCCATCTCCATTCCTCAATATAACGTCATGTGACCAACAAATGAGGAGGAGATACTGTACACCATATGAAGGTCCATCTCCATTCCTCAATATAATGTCATGTTTTGTTGTGGGGGGGGGGGGGGGGCAGGAGATGAAATGGGACAATGGGGAGGATCCTATACCGAACTGGAAGCAGAGGTAGCACCCAACCCCCGAAGATGCTGCTGGAATCTATCAGGCTCGCCTACCCAAACATACTGGTGACCATCCCTGTAGCTGCACCATACAACACACCAACAGTAGGCTCTAATTTCTCCAATAGAAGCCTCCAATTACAATAAGTTCCTTCAACAACACAAACCACCGTACAGAGAAGGGACTTCTTTTTGGCTGAAGGTCATGCGTGATGGTCCTGGGGTATTGGTATTGGGTCACAAGAGCCTGCCTCAGTTGCCTAAAGGGCTCCCCTTCCACCATATTAATAGGGGCCCCTCCGAGTGCAAGTAGCAGAGCTATCAAGGCGGGTACATTTCTTTGGACTACTGCCGGGACTTCTGCCATGAAAGCCACCAAAATGTTCAAGAGCGGCATGGATGGGATGCAAGATGTCACCAGCGTCCCTCCGTTCTTTGGCCTGCCTGCTGGTGGTGGTGGTGCTGCCACTAGTTGTTCCCCATGTGGCGCTTGCCGGAGGAACCACACCACTTTCCTCCCCTAGCAACACTTCCTCTGCGGTGGACACGCATGTGCTGGTTCCTGCCACTGTTGGTCAGATGACCCAAGACTTTGCCCCGGCTGACTTCCCTGCTGCAGAGCTTACAGTTTTCTGGCCAATTTGGACAAAACGGTGCCAAATTTTGGAAAGGCGGCTGACCCTGAAGGTTCTCTCCACTACAGCGGTTTCTTCACCTTGCCCTGATGGAGCGACTTCCTTCTTCTTTCCATGTTGTGGCTTCTGGTGGGGCCTCTGGTTGAGGTAGAACAGGAGAAGGTCTGAACATTTCTGTGTGGGAGACTCCGACAATAACGGAGAGGCAGGTAGGGCGCGTGATTTGTCAGGGGAGTCCACAGGTGAAGACTTGGGCGTCACAAATTCTGGTGGGTTGTCGCTGCCAGAGGGTGGAAGGTCTACGTCTTCTAGAAAGAGGGGAAGGTAAGCCTACTTCTCAATCATCCTCTGATGGAATGACAGAAATATCTGTTGGGGAGACCTGATGGCTCCCCCTCTTCTCAATCATCCTCTGATGGAATCCAGAAATATATTTTCCTGATGTTGGGGAGACCTGATGGCTCCCCCTCTTCTCTACATCCTTAGAGACGTGTGATTGGACAGGAGGCCCCTCAATGACCCGTCAGTGATCTCTATCGGACTTATTACTTTGCATGGTCACGTTTGGATCCCTATAGTTCCCGGCGTTCCTGCAAATCCCTGTTCTTCTCCAGGAGGAGTGGGGCCTTCACAGACATGTATATGTTTGTGAAGGCCCCACCCCTCCCGGAGAAGGGCATGAGGCAACCTCTGAATGTTAACTACTACAATCGGTCCAAACCCCCAAAATTGTCCAAATGATAAAGATCTCCACACGGGACCGACCCAAATCACGAAGAACTCCTGAGATCGGAGGAACGAAGAGAACCGGTCAGGAGATAGAGAGGTGGACCTCATACCGGGACCACTGAGGGTCTCCTCTCTTCTCAATCTCCTCTCTCTCCTACCAAAGGTACTAAAACTCAATGTTGGGTGCAGATTCGACATTCTACACCAGGTGGCGATCACAGAGTGGAATACACAGACAGGAAGTGATGTAAGGTACCGACAGGAAGTGATGTAAGGTACAGACAGGAAGTGATGTAAGAGTATAAATAGGAAGTTCCAGGTGAGAGGTGAGTGGGGAGGAAGTAGAGAGGAGACATTGCTGGAAGTGGCAGCAGAGGAGGTAATAAGATATTATTTTATATGTACACCCAGTAACCCCTCCCCCCCGTCATGTCCGTCCTCCATAGTCACTGTGACGTCTTTTATCTCCGGCATTTATCCAACTGTCCATCCAGAGCCGCCATTTATAGACCGTATACATCCTAAATATAGACCCATTTATCCAACTGTCCATCCAGAGCCGCCATTTATAGACCGGATACATCCTAAATATAGAGCCATTTATCCAACTGTCCATCCAGAGCCGCCATTTATAGACCAGATACATCCTAAATATATTTAACTTGGAGGTTGTCTACCTGCTGGTGGGAGAGGTGAGGAGGATTCTGGGAATGTACGTTTCTGTCTCTATCGGCACAGGATTTTAGAGTAGAGAAGAAGACATCTGAACAGCTCAAAACCAACCAAGGATCAGGATCTCTATTTCTCCATGGAGGAGTGGAAGTATCTAGAAGGACACCGGGATCTCTACAAGGACGTGGTGATGGAGAATGCCCCGCCCCTCACATCACCGGGTAAGAGGAGAGAGCAGTACGGAGGCTCCGCCTACATCCCCCATCATCTGATACACACATAGAAACAATGTATTCAGTCAGTGTGTGTGTTTCCTACAGATGGATCCAGTAAGAGGAACCCACCAGAGAGATGTCCCCGCCCCCTGTATTCCCGGGACCCCACCCAGGAAGATCTCACCATCCCCCACCATGAGAGATGTCCCCGCCCCCTGTATTCCCGGGACCCCACCCAGGAAGATCTCACCGTCCCCCACCACGATCAGGATGTTGGAGATGAAGGTCGGGAACAGGTAGGTGGCTCTTCCTCTGGACAGCCCACATTACATGTACGTAGTCTTACATTTGAAAACATTCTTTTGTGGTTTTAGGGTGAATATCTGTTTGATGTGAAAGTTGAGTGTAAAGAGGAAGAAGAAAAAGACGCGTATGTGGCCGGCGATCAGCACTCTACAGCTGACCTTGGAATGACGGTGATCGTTAAGGAGGAAGAATTTCCTGTAGATATTGACCAAGGTGAGCAAGGTGAACCAGAGACAGAACCTTTCCCACACGTTCATTGTTTGATTGCTCAGTTACGGGGAACCTCTTAGGCATGGCGCGGGCAACTCATTCACTGAGCCTCAAACCCTTCACGCCAGACTTTTCAACTTTAGTATTAGAATACTGGTTCCATGTCCTTCTGGGTTGTGGAGATGTTGACTGAAGATGACTACCAGGTAACGGGAAACATCAACAAGAAGCCACGTAATATATACATTGTGGTCAAAGTATGTGGACGCCCTTCAGAATAATCAGGTTTAAGTGTTTCCAGTGAAAATGTTAAATGTCAAATACATTTATGGTTGAAGGCCCTTTTCTGTTCCACCATGTCTTTATGGAGCTGGCTTTGTACACCGGGGATGGCCATAGTGGAACAGAAAAGGGTCTTCACCAAGCTGGTCACACGATGTCTTTATGGAGCTGGCTGTGTACAGCTTGGTGAAGACCCCCTTCTGTTCCACCATGACTGTCCCCGGTGTACAAAGCCAGCTCCATAAAGACATGGTGTGACCAGTTTGGTGAAGGGCCTTTTCTGTTCCACCATGACTGTCCCCGGTGTACAAAGCCAGCTCCATAAAGACATGGTGTGACCAGTTTGGTGAAGGGCCTTTTCTGTTCCACCATGACTGTCCCCGGTGTACAAAGCCAGCTCCATAAAGACATGGTGTGACCAGTTTGGTGAAGGGCCTTTTCTGTTCCACCATGACTGTCCCCGGTGTACAAAGCCAGCTCCATAAAGACATGGTGTGACCAGTTTGGTGAAGGGCCTTTTCTGTTCCACCATGACTGTCCCCGGTGTACAAAGCCAGCTCCATAAAGACATGGTGGGACCAGTTGGGTGAAGACCCTTTTCTGTTCCACCATGACTGTCCCCGGTGTACAAAGCCAGCTCCATACAGACATGGTGTGACCAGTTTGGTGAAGACCCTTTTCTGTTCCACCATGACTGTCCCCGGTGTACAAAACCAGCTCCATAAAGACATGGTGTGACCAGTTTGGTGAAGACCCTTTTCTGTTCCACCATGACTGTCCCCGGTGTACAAAGCCAGCTCCATACAGACACGGTGTGACCAGTTGGGTGTGGAAGAAACTCAAGTGTCCTACACAGAGCCCTGACCTCAACCCTACTAAGCAACTTATGGATAAATTGGAAGCCAGGTCTTCTCATTCAACCGTCAGTACCCGATCTCACACATGGGCCCACCTTCCCACAGACACCGTCTTCCATCTTTTGGAAAGCCTTCCTGGAAGAGTAGAAGTAGTTGTAGCTACGAAGAGGGGGGGAGGGGGGGGGCATCTCCATATTTATGGGCCATGGTTTTGGAATGGGATTTCCAAAACCAAGCTCTTTAGCTTTGCATTCTGTTGATCAATGAGCTTGCAAGTCTGAAGGGATGCCGGGGATGGGTTCTTCTATATTCCATGAGGGGAGAAGGGGGTGGGGGGAGGGGATCCAGGGAAGGTGTTATATCTGTATTACACTTCAGCTGTAGGAGAACTTGATTCTGTTTTTTGCCTTCAGACTTGAAAATGGAAGACGAGGACATCAAACGAGAGCCTCCGGGAGAAAACTCCGTTTATATCCACCCAGGTGCAGATGACGCACCTCATCCCGCTAATTCGGAGGGGCCGCCGAGTGCGACTCGCAGCGCAGCAGATAAAGGAGACGAGGGGCACTTGTGTGCCGAATGCGGCAAATCCTGTAAATCAAAGTCCTCTCTATACAGACACCGGAGAACCCACTCGGCAGAGAGACGTTTTCCCTGCTCCGAGTGCGGAAAAAGCTTCAAGAGGAAGTGCCACCTCACCAAGCATTGGAGGACTCATACCGGCGAGCGCCCGTTCTCCTGCTCGGAGTGCGGGAAATGTTTCGGGGATAAGTCGATCCTGACGGCGCATCAGAGATACCACACGGGCGAGAACCTCCACACCTGCTCGGAGTGCGGCAAGAAGTTTTCTCAGAGGTCGCGGCTTGTGGTGCACCAGAGGTACCACACGGGCGAGAAACCGTACAAGTGCACAGAGTGCGGGAAGAGGTTTATAAGGAACACCCAGCTAATCATACACCAGAGAATTCACACGGGAGAGAAGCCTTTCCAGTGCTCCGAATGCGGCCTTTGTTTTTCGCAGAAGTACGAAGTGGTCAAACACCGGAGGAAGCATACGGGCGACAAGCCGTACTTGTGCCCCGAGTGCGGGAAAAGTTTTGCCACCAAGCACCAACTCACCACGCATCAGAGATCCCACCTGGGCCTGCAGCTCCACTCGTGTCCCGAGTGCGGGAAGATTTTCATGTACAGATCCCAGCTTGACCTCCATCGGAGGTCTCACACCGGGAAGGAGGTGTATCCCTGCTCCGAGTGTGGGAGGAACTACATATTTCAATCCCAGCTGAGGAAGCACCAGAGGATCCACGCGAACGACAAGCCACATTCGTGCCCCGAATGCGGGAAATGTTTCATATGGAAGTCCCAGCTGGACGTGCACTTGAAACGTCACATGGGGGAGAAGCCGTTCTCCTGCTCCACCTGCGAGAAACGGTTCGTCACCAAGTCCAAGTTGAAGCAGCATCAGAAGACGCACTTCCAGGAGGAGCCGTTGCTGTGCGCCAGGTGCGGGTTGGGTTTCCTGTCACGGACCCAGTTAGTCCAACACTACGCCCTCCATGTCGAGGAGGAACCACTGTCCTGCGTAAAGTATGAGGAGACCCTTGGGGACGACTCTTAGCTTCTACAGCCCTTGGAGGAGGGCGTGTCTGGAGATGCTTCATGGACTGCACAGAGCTTCTTGGTCACCAGACAGTCCACTCCCCCAGGAACATCTTCTCCTCCGAGTGTGGGAAGTGCTTCCCGCTGAAATCCAAACTTGATATGATATCCACCTCCGAGACTCGCACCTTCTCTTGCTCAGGGTGTGGGAAATGCAAGTCGAAACTCGTGGCCCATGTCCGGTGAAAACCTCCCCACGTGCCTGGAATGTGTGGAAGAAGCGTCACGGAGAAGCCGGTGTTCGACAATCACATGAGGACACGCATAGGGGAGCGGCCGTTTGCACGCCCCCCAATGTAGGATCCGCTTCTCCAGCAAGGAGGGTCACGTCAGCGTTCATACAAGCAAAAGCCATACGTGTGTACAGAATGTGAGTATCACTCCGTGTGCGTCTTCAACCTTCTCATCCATCTGCGGACTCACACAGGAGAAAAGCCTTTTTTATGCTCGGCGTGCGGGAAAGGCTTTACTCAGAATTCTTCTCATTCGCACCAGAGGGATTCCAACCATTGACTCCAAGCTGCATAAGGCCCAATTGGAATCCAGTTGGGTGGGTTCTGCACATCCTGAAGATGTCTGATGCTTCATGGGCCATCTCTATCCATGAGACACCCAACTGCAATATACCCAAGCCGTTGGACAGAACACTACAAAATATTGTTTCTGTTATTTCCTGAACATGGACTATTGGAATCATGGACTCCGAATGCATTGACCCCTCCAGGTTCCACCAGTCCATCTAAAATAGCAGTTTGGGCCCTGATGAAGGGAGGAACTTTATAGCCCCCGAAAACGTTGTTGGACTTTTATGATGAAATAAATACTTTTAGACTCGGGAACCGTCGAGGTGACTTCTCTTGTTCTCTTAAATGTCTCCTGAGATGTCCTTTTTGAGGGCCCTTCATGTTTCAGATCTACCCATTTTGTATCCTATACTGTGTATTCAAACTGTATTTGGGTCCAGCGCCTCCAACCTAAATTTGGGGGCAACCCAGATCACGCCAGATAGAACACCCTGTAACATACGTGATCAGAACATATCACCAGGTAGATCAGCTCCCACCAGATCTCAGGTCACACATACAATACTATAATTTCCATGAAGTCCTCTTCTGTACGGTGCCGATGGTGGAAAAGGTGAAGGTGTGTCATGAAAGTCATTGTCCTTCCCCAACCGTCCATCTTGCCCACCGATCTCTATGGCACCACGGTACACTTTTCTTTAGCCCTCAGAGATCCACCATGAAAGGCCCTCTTGGTTGTCTCAGGCCAAAGGTTCTCTCTGAAGGTCTGTCATGAAAGTCATCGTCCTTTAGGATTCCCCAAACTTCCACAGTAGTGTCCTCTCCATGACAATAGATCCTTTGGGCGCCTCTATTGGAGGTCGTAGATTAGACAATGGTGTCCTCTCCATTACAATAGATCCTTTGGGCACCTCTATTGTAGGTCGTAGATTGGACAGTAGCGTCCTCTCAATGACAATCGATCCTTTGGGCACCTCTATTGGAGGTCGTAGATTGGACAGTAGCGTCCTCTCAATGACAATAGATTCTTTGGGCACCTCTATTGGAGGTCATAGATTCTGACTTGAGTAAGGCTGCCCTCAAACACAACCATGGTTCCCCTTGACTGGGGGGGGGGCACCAAAGTTTAGAAGCCACGTGTACAAAGTCCAGTGAGGGGGCCAAACCAATGATTGGAGTGTCCAGAAGCTTTGGATGATAATTTGTTCAACAAAGACAATATTTTGGAGGCTCGGAGATCTCCCCCCTTCCTCGTGGCTTAGACCTCCTATTTCTGTGTGAGAGGTCGGATGGCAGAATCACCACAATTATTAATTTGAGGGACAGGAGGGCTCCCAGGAGCAGAAAGTAGCAGCATATGGGGAAGTATCATAGCCTGACCGATGACCGGGAAAGGATCCAGTTCTCCCCCAAACACTTATCAAGAGATGACCATATCATGGTTGTCCTCCTCCATCACCATCACGTCCTCCATACATGCTGCAGTGTTTATCCTCACTGATCCCTGAGTATGATTAATCTCCAAACCCCTTCCAAGTCACAGCCATGGTGAGTCCTTCATCATTGTGGTCAGGTAGAAGATTGGAGGGGAGGACGGAGGTCAGATAGAAGACTGAAGGGGAGGACGGAGGTCAGAGAGAAGACTGAAGGGAAGGACGGAGGTCAGATAGAAGACTGAAGGGAAGGACGGAGGTCAGAGAGAAGACTGAAGGGAAGGACGGAGGTCAGATAGAAGACTGAAGGGAAGGACGGAGGTCAGATATAAAGTATTGCTCATATGTATTAAACTGGAAACCTTCCATAACTACGAGAGACTCCTGAGATCGGAGGAACAAGGAGAAGTGGCCAAGAGATAGGGAGGTGGACCTCATACAAGGACCGCTGAGGGTCTCCTCTCTCTTATTGCTGATACTAAAAAATCAATGTCGGATGCAGATTCTACATTCTACTCCAGATGGCGATACAGAGTGGAACGCACAGACAGGAAGTGATGTAAGAGTACACATAGGAAGTTCCGGGTGAGAGGTCATTAGGGAGGAAGTAGAGAGGAGACATTGCTGGAACTGGCAGCAGAGGAGGTAATAAGAAATGTCTATCTCTCCATGGAGGAGTGGGAGTATCTAGAAGGACACCGGGATCTCTACAACGACGTGGTGATGGAGAATGCCCCGCCCCTCACATCACCGGGTAAGAGGAGAGAGCAGTACGGAGGCTCCGCCTACATCCCCCATCATCTGATACACACATAGAAACAATGTATTCAGTCAGTGTGTGTGTTTCCTACAGATGGATCCAGTAAGAGGAACCCACCAGAGAGATGTCCCCGCCCCCTGTATTCCCCGGACTCCACCCAGGAAGATCTCACCCTCCCCCACCATGATCAGGTAGGTGGTCACCAGCCTCTGGTAGTTCTGATTGATATACAATTCCATGTCTGATGATAAATGTTTTTATTTCATATTTAGAACGAGAGCCTCAGCGATTGTAATGTTGCCGTTAAACAAGAGTTTATAATGGACGACGAGGAGTATGGAGTGATGACGGATCAATACAACAAAGTTGAGTGTAAAGAGGAAGAAGAAGAAGAAGACGCGTATGTGGACGGCGATCAGCACTCTACAGCTGAGCTTGGAATGCTGGTGATAGTGAAAGAGGAAGAATTTCCTGAAGATATTGACCAAGGTGAGCAAGAGGAACCAGAGACACAACCTTTCCCGCACATTCATGGTTTGATTGCTCAGTTACGGGAAACCTCTTGGGCATGGCGCGGGCAACTCATTCACTGAGCCTCAAACCCTTCACGCCAGTTGATGTATCCCGTTACCTGGTAGTCCTCTTCAGTCAACATCTTTATAACATGGAGTCGAAACGACTCCATGTTCTAAAGACGTTGACTGGTCAGGACTACCAGGTAACGGGATACATCAAGAAGAAGAATATATATATTGTGGCCAAAGTATGTGGACGCCCTTCAAAATGACTGGGTTCAGGTGTTTCCAGTGAAAACGTTAGATGTCAAAGACATTTATGGTTGAAGACCCTTTTCTGCTCTACCGTGACTGTCCCCGGTGTACAAAGCCAGCTCCATAAAGACGTGGTGTGGCCAGTTTGGAGAAGGCCACTCAAGTTCCACCTCACAGAGCCCAGACCTCAACCCTATGGAACATAGGAACACCTTATGGAACATTCCATAAGAATTGTTGAGGTGCCCAAAGCCAGCTCCATACAGACATGGTGTGACCAGTTTGGTGAAGGCCCTCTTCTGTTCCACCATGACTGTCCCCCAGTGTACAAAGCCAGCTCCATAAAGACATGGTGTGACCAGTTGGGTGAAGGCCCTTTTCTGTTCCACCATGACTGTCCCCAGTGCACAAAGCCAGCTCCATAGAGACATGGTGTGACCAGTTGGGTGAAGACCCTTTTCTATTCCACCATGACTGTCCCCAGTGCCCAAAGCCAGCTCCATAGAGACATGGTGTGACCAGTTGGGTGAAGACCCTTTTCTATTCCACCATGACTGTCCCCGGTGTACAAAACCAGCTCCATACAGACACGGTGTGACCAGTTTGGTAGAGGAACTTGAGCGTCCTCCACAGAGCCCCGACCTCAACCCTACTAATCAACTTATGGATGAATTGGAACACCCCATTGGAAGCCAGGTCTTCTCATCCACCATCAGTACCCAACCTCACAAATGGGCACACCTCCCCACAGACGCCATCTTTTGGAAAGCCTTCCTAGAAGACTAGAGGGGGGAGGGGCATCTCCATCAAGAGAAGCTCTTGCAGTTCTTCAGCTGTAACAGAATTTGATTCTTTTTCTCAATGTCTCATTTTGCCTTCAGACTTGAAAATGGAAGACGACGACACTGAACGAGACTACCTCGGCCAAAATCCGGCATTTACTGGCGTAGATAACACACCTAAAATTGCGACTCGCACCGCCGCCAACGGAGGTGAGAAAACCTACGTGTGCGGAGAATGCAGCAAAGCTTATAAATCGAAATCCTCTCTTAACAAGCACCGGACCGTCCACGCAGCGGAGAGGCCTTTTCCCTGCTCTGAGTGCGGCAAGAGCTTCAACCAGAAGAACCACCTCACCAGACACTGGAGGACTCACACCGGCGAGCGCCCGTTTTCCTGCCCCGAGTGCGGGAAAGGTTTTAGAGATAAGTCGAAGCTGACGGCGCATCAGAGGTACCACACGGGCGAGATCCTCCATATCTGCTCGGAGTGCGGGAAGCAGTTTAATCAGAAGTCCCAGCTTGTGGTGCACCAGAGGTACCACACGGGGGAGAACCTCCATACCTGCTCCGAATGCGGCAAGCAGTTTAATCAGAAGTCGCGGCTCGTGGTGCACCAGAGGTACCACACGGATGAGAGACCCTACCAGTGCGCAGAGTGCGGCATGAGGTTCATGCAGAATTCAGAACTGGTCGTACA